TACATCTATTATCTACATTAATGAACAAAATTATTTTTTACGATAGCTAATATAACGCTTCTTTTACTTTGTTATATCTACCGCGTATAAGAATGATATTTATATCTATAATATTTTGTATAGTTTCTTTACAATACAAATAATCCGTTGGCATATCAAAACAATTTTAGGTATTTCGAATTCATAGGTATAAATACCGTTCTGTTTTATATCAATTCAATACATCACTAGTCTCGTTCAAGCAGTGTGCGTGTAGACATTCAATTCACCGCAACTGCTATCGTATCATCGTCGGTCAACTCGGGGCGTTCGCTGTTCTTTGATCTCTCCACAATAATTGACTTAATCGAATAGTCCTTACGATATATCACTATTCCCGCTACCGATGAAGACATTGAATTGACCGCGTTGATTGAAATTATGATTAGATAGACGTAACATGACGTCTATACGTTCCTCTTTCTCTTCGTACAATTGTGTTCAGTTTAACGATTATATCAACACCTCAATAGATTGTGTGGATAGAATTTATTTATTCTCATATTTTAGAACGATCCATTGTATGTACTTACTTGTTTTGTGAAATTCTCATAAATTATTTAGTATCTAATCGCAGTTAGCAATGATGATAAGTCCCATTACGTATACAAATTGGCCTACAGAATTATGTGGATGCAATCTCGTGATTTTTTTACCATTAAGCACAACAGCATTTTGAATGGCGACAGATTAAACAAAATTTCCGATAGCCACCCACGAAATGCACTTCCATTGTCATTCTTATCTAAACGTTTATGCTGTACGGCCGGCGGCGTCGGTATCGGTCGATGCCAAGGATGTATAGCATATCGATGGCAATTTATTGCCCTTCGCAGGTTCGGGCGCGGCCAAGGATACGACACACGAGACGTCTACAGGCGCGGTCTTTAATAGACGATAGATATGTTTGCGTTCGTCTAATGGCAGAATGGAGTTTACCTAGATATTGGCTTACAGAACCGACGTTCTAGCGGTGATAAATGATGAGCGTAGGCGCAAACCGCGGGTGACGCCAATGAGGGCACGATCGATTGCGTCGATGTGGGCTCGGCGCTTTTGCACCATAAACGAACCCTTTGTACCTCAAATTGATCATAAGGGCTTGACCGATTGCCCTTTGCAGTTATAAAAATTGAACGCCTTCGTCGTCCCACGCACTGAACATTAACGAGAGTTTCGTACGAAATAGGGCGCGCTTTCACGGTAACAAAATGTTTAGATAAGGAGATGTCGTAAGAACAAACGAAACAATGAGGTCTTAATTGTGAATACTGTTTTAGTTATATTTTACTGTGAAGGTGCGTTGCCCTTTGAGTGGGTGTTGGCCTTATTATACGAGGATTAGAAATGCCACCTGGCTCTATTGTAGTTATAATATCTTAATAACTTCTACTCGCGATATTGCCTGCGGGGATTTTAGATTTATTACCAAGAAAATCTTTAACAGTGCTATTAAATAAACTAGGTTTACGTCAGAGTAAATTTACGCTAAAATTGATATTTTAGTATTAGTTCAAATTCATATTATACAGAGAATAAGCAAACTTACTACATTATAGGAGTAAATATTACTCCCGTAGAACCTCATACTAAGTTAACCTTTGCTAAGTTTTTGTTTAATAATATGAATTTTCACTAATATTAAGTGCAGTGTCAGCGTAATTTTACTCCAACGCTAAACCTTGTTTATTAGTAACACTGTAAGGGAGTAAATACTGTTTTAGTCCAGAGTATACTCTACATATGAACCATATTTAATTAAATTGTCAAGTATAATTTACCAGCTATCACCAGCGGCTTCACCCGCGTTGTCCCTAGGGAAATGTTTAATGGGATGAAAAATATCCTATTATCTAAGTCAGCTAATACCCTATCTGTATGCCAAATTTCATCAAATTTCGTTTAGTAGTTTCGGCGTGATTGGCGGACAAACAGGCAAACATCCAAACAAAGAAACTTTCACATTTATAATATTAATAGGATTTAACAATTTACGTATTTTAAAGATAAATAATCGGAAAGAGCATTAATCAACCAAACCTGTTTTGTAAAAACAGAATTCCCAGTAAGGATTATTATCAATTCATGTTTCATATTAAATAAAAAATAAAACCTTTAGTTTATTCTTATAAATTCTTGTTGCTCACTTGTGCTTTCTTACTAATCTATAACTACATTTTTTTTCCTATTACCCTTGGTCACGTGATCACACGTTAATATGAAAGAATAAAATACCAAAACTGTGAAGAAAATTTAAGAATATTTAACTACCATATAAAATCATTTTGAATCTAACCTTAGTCCTATTTTTTATTAACAATATATCTTTTTAATAAAATCTTTTTACGTTTGACAGAATTGTCAGAATGCGTGCTGCAGATATTATCAAATAGGATGTATAAAACTGTTGACTTCAATATTCATTTAAGACAGGACAACGTCTGTCAGGTCAGCTCGTTCTTAATAACTTTAATCCAGCTGCCGTAGAAATAGGCTCAGTAGCTTACACTATATTAGACAGTATAAGATATTAAGCGTTGGCGAACGAGACGTTGGTAATGATTTATATTAATATGAATGCGAAGCCTCCGGGCCGTCGTCTAATAATAAGTTGTGAGCCGTAACTAATGTAAAATTGAATATGACGTAGCTATTTGCAGCGCCATTGAACACGCGCGTGTATTAATCGATTCATTACAGAGTGATGGATCTGCAATTGGATCTTGCAGGCGCCAATATATATTGGAAATGATAATTAATGATGTGACATTAATTGTGTGCTATACAAAATAACATAAAAATATTGGCAATTTACAAAAATCACTGCGTACGATAAAAGCCGCGATAGTTAAAAAAACTCAATTGTAACTATAACCAATAGTATAAAATGCTTTACAAATTGATACGACATTATTTTGTGTAAGCTCACCATAGTAAAATTCTCATCCATACCCCTTGGGCATTCAGAGAAAGTGTAAGCTTATTATTAAGTTGAAATCAAGTTCAAGATACATATCGTCGGAGATAGTACAATGCCGTGTAACTAAAAGACTTACAATTAAGAGCTAATTAAGTCAGTTATTAATATTACGAGGTATAGGCTCGCGTTCAACAAATGAAAACATAGATTTTTGTTATATGTTCAGAAAATATGAACCATATTTACTTATGAATAATTTTATGACACTACTTAAGAAAACATTATACTCTGAAAACTTGAAAAAGTAAAGAAAATATACTACGAAAATTTGCTAAAATAGATATGGCATTAAATTAATTACATTAAACGATAAAACTTTCATTATAAGAGCTATAAACATATACGCACAAATAAAGATATTGTTCAGACGTCCATACGTTTTTCGCTACAGTTGCACTGTGTGACGTCACTAGTGCCTTGAATTTGCAGGCAGTGTTTTTGGCCGACTAGCAGCAGTTCCACAATCATAGCACCGTATCTCCAAAACTATTAATCGAACACATGCGGTTACTTCCAAATTATTTGTCAGATATTAATGGACTATTTATTAATAAAATAAAAAAAGTTGTCAGCTAACCTAGTCCCAAGTGCACAAATGCCCGAAATTATATCGAGATACTTATAAGTATTTACATTACAAATACATAAAATATATTACGTTATCTTTACTTTTTATAGAACTTGCGTACGAGTATTTATGTTCGGGAACCATATATAGGAAACAATAATGTACTGGAATACAGGAATGGTATTAGAAACACTAATTAAGTTATAGCTGTTGGTAGGGGAGATTGTAGATACAAACAAACGACCCATAATAGTATTGATAATGTGAATGAAATTCTGAGTTTAATAGAAACAGTACGAATATTCATTAACCATTGTCATGAAATGTTACGACGGAAATATAAATAAGTCTTTTATTGTGGCTTTAAAATGTCTATCAACTTTGCATAAAATTTAGTGATAAGAAAGTGAGAAGGATAGGAATACTGACTTTAGGTGACAAAAGACAATGACTTTAGGCCTAGAAGCAAGTGCTCACAGCTTTAGGCCGAACCCGTTATAAGTCAAATTTTTATTGGTATAACCTTTTTTATGGACGATCAACATCACCCTCCAATATATATGATCTTGGAAGGTGATTTTGGATTCTCCAGCTTGTATATTCATTTTTTCGCATTGTATATCAGTCATTCTTCGTACGGCATTCTTTCGACATATCCGGAATAATGAAGTACGCTCGTATGCTTTTGTATCGATAATATCTTTCACATCAATTCTCTTTTTTTCATTGTCTATGTTGCGCTTGGGAACGTCTATCTATATCTTCACTGTATCTTTTTCATAGCAGGCAGAAAGGACCGAGTGCCACAAGGCACGGTCCTTACCTTTTTTTTCGCCTCCTTTAATTTCATTACTCTTTCCATACATACACGACGGTTTGGTTTCTGACATTACTTTCTAAAAGCACGCGATTGATTTAATCGTGAAAGGTGTATCTTAACCTTCCTCCGTTTCTGCATCCTTCCAATTTAGCATTATTTCGTAAATTTGACGTAATATTTGAGTTTCCGTATAAATATATTTATATCACTTCTATAACTCTCTAACCATAATGTGTCCTTATCTTACTATAATGCGTGACTAGATCTCCATCATACAAACTAATCTTGTGGTTGTGTATATAATGACGTAATGAAGGAGTCACAGTGGACCGTAATCACACGCCTCTCCTGAATGGATGACGTCATTGTGAAGACTTACCAGCCGTATAATTTATTCAATTACTCAGTCTCTTGTCAGCTTAATGTTAGTAGGCTGCGTATATATTATCTACGTTACTATCTAATTTCTGTAATCATTGTAAGGAGTTTATTGAGACGGATATAGTTTGAATGCATGAATTTATTTGTTCGTAAGCAAAACTCTTCTCAAATACATAAAGTTACATAGTCTATTAAACTATGGTAAAACCGTCTTCACTATGTGACTGAAAATTTGCATTGAGTAGACTAGACTTATATCAATCACTATAATTAGTATAAATTAAATCACATTGGGCCTATATGCAAATATTTTGCAAATCTACAATTGAATATGTTTCCTTAACTTACAGGTTGCTGGTTGGAGCACCACTAGGACAAAATCTTCAGCCCAACACGAAAAAGTCAGGTGCACTCTGGAAATGTGCACTCACGCCGGCCGTGAGAGACTGCGAGCAAGTCGTCACAGACGGCATGAGAAGTGAGTAACATACTTGCATACTAATTAATATAGGTACATGGCACGTAATGCCACAAAAACTTCATTTAAACTCATTGATATATTACTCGTCATTGGAAAACTTTAATATGATACCTTTTCTCTTTTATTTTCTGTTTACTATATTATTACTATTCGATGAAACCTGGAATGCTCTTCCAAATTTACTTCTGATTCAATCCTTTAATCATTTTAAATGAAGTTTATCGTGTTTAGGAATTAATAGTTAACAATCTATGAGTATAGAAAATTGTCTATTAGATAAATTATATCTTCATACTGTAAAAAATGTAAGTTTGTAGTAACCACATTGAATACTGAGCCGAACACAAGTAGTACCTCAAAACACAATTTAGAAGAACTAGTTTTTAGAAATAGTATATTTATTTATAGAAGATACACATCTTATTTTATTTTTAAAACACTTTAAATTTAGAAACAAAGCACTTTTATAGAAATTATCTATAAAATTTGTAATTCGTCTCACAGTAGTGTTTTAGCAAAACTGTAAGACAAAATGTGCCAAATAGCGGCGATAGGTAACAGTTATTAAACAATATTATAATAAAGATACATTTTTCTTAATGAAACATCCCTAATAGTTCATGATATATGACTTTTAACTAAACTGTTGTCTTTTGTCGGTGGTGCCCCAAACAGCGAAGTACGGCAAAATAAGGACCAGTAAGTGAGCTGTGGTCTCAACCTCCTTTATTCTTAATCATTATTTTCTCAACTAATAAGACTAATATCGTATTTTTTTTACTTCTGTTTACTAAAAGGCCTGTATGTCATTAGTCATTATTTTACGAATTCAGATTTAACTATGCCATACATATCATTACAATTTTGTGAACGATCTGATTTCGTATTATATTGTACTTATTCATTAATCTAAAAAATGAAAGTCTCATACAATTACAAAGCATGTGCACTAATCGCAACTGAAATGTTTATTTTGCATAGTCACATTATATTATTATTATTTTATCGTTTTGTATGTCGGATCTAATAGAAACTGAACACGAATTACAAACAACTGGTTCTATTCAAGATCCTGCATGCAATGAAAAGCACTAACTGCTTGCCGAAGCACCTATTCACATGCTTGCGCTAAAAAGCACTACGAATGAAGCAAACATCATAAATATTAAATTTACTAGAGTCTAGTAAATTTATGTTAAATTTGTAATCTAGTAACTAGACTACAAATTTAGCATAATGTAAGTAGTAATAGTGTTAGAGCTTGACTATAAAATAGGAGAAGTAGAAGCTTTTGTAAGAAATAAATAAAGCAAAATATTGAGGACAGTTTATATTAATCTCCTATCTGATTGTTATAGGAGAAATAATATGATACACAAATCGTTGAAGGTGACTGGTATTATTATTAATACATAATAAAATAACAACAGAACTAGTTAAATGGAAATAAATGAGCGCAGTATACAACAATAGAAGCGTACATTCACAGCCATGGTACAGGCAATAGTATGATCTAACAAGAAAATATTAAAATATAACACTGGGCCGATTAACTTCATAGATTTAACAAAATTTAGCCACACTTACATTTAAAACATAATTGGTGTCCTATCTGGTGTTCTAACGAGTCGGCCATTATTAATGACGTCAGTATCAGCTCCAAATTAACATCACGTAGTCCTCGATAACGTTATTAACCTGAGACCACATGTTTTAGCCGTAACTTCCGAAATTTATTTCAGGTTTGCAGAAGATTGTCTATTATCGTCACCTTAATGCAACTATTTCAACATTCTAGGATAAAATATTATTATTAAGTTATAAATCATTATGCATGAGTTTATATATTCCCAATAGTGTTTTTATCATTAGCACGGATTGTCATGATGGATAATTTGAAATCATTTGTTGTATATTTGCTATTAGTTAAAGGATAAAGCATAATCACGCCTGGTTGCAAAGCTTTGCATTTGCCAAGTTCACGATTCAAATGGGATTCGACTTTTCAAAAATAAAACCAATTTACTATTGTTCATGTTCACGTTGCTTTTATATATTTAATTAGATATACAAGACTAATCGAAGTCCCAATTAAATTACTTACTTAAATTTTATGTTTTGGGTGACAATAACACGGTATGGTATGTTAAGGATACCTTACGTAACTTTCCTATCAAAAAATACGAAATAATTGTGTCTAATTTGAGCTTTTGAGTTTTAGAGAGATACTTTTGCAATCATGTTTTAACATTTTTGATTTGGTGTTATTCTTAACGTCATTTGCTACGATAAAAAATTTTTGGCAATTTTCTAATATTTTGATGCTTTTAACTTTCACCGAGTTACTTATGTTGTGTGGAACATGCTAATAAAGATTTTTTATAGGCATAGGTTTGGAGTCGACAAATGTAAACCTGACTAGTCCGTACCCGGATGAGATTAAAGAAGGCCAGTGGCTTGGCGTCTCTGTGAGGAGTCAAGGACCAGGAAAGAAAGCTGTTGTATGCGCTCATAGGTAAATACCCCATATCATAAACAAGTTTAAAACTAGCTTCTAGTTTTATGTATTTCTTTACTAATTTGCAAATAGTTTACTTATCTTTTTATTATGTTTACAGATACATTCGTAAAGTTGGTGAATCTCAATTGGGTCAAGGTTTATGTTATATGCTGAACAACCAGCTACGGCTTGCTGACATTTGGGAGCCTTGCAAGGGGAGATCAGTTGTCAGGTGAAATTTTCTTTTATTACAAAATATTTACGAATAAATTGTAAAGCACTATGAGCAGATGTTAAAAGAAATACAGTATGTATTGACAAACTCTAATAGCTTGTTCGAATGTAACTATTAATATTTGAAATTATACGCTGCAACTACAAGTACGTCATACTCACATACCAATAGTAAATTACTGTGTATTAGTATTTAAGCTTGGACATTCGCAACGCGCAAATGATATCTTGGTGTTGCAAGTGTTCTTAGATTATAGAGTTACCTTACTACTCATGTTGTATTCATTTTAAAATTGGTCATTATAATTGAAAATTTTAAACTGTCAGTATATATTTATTATTGTTTATTCAGGGAACATGAGGACTTTGGGTTCTGCCAAGTGGGTACTAGCAGCTCTTTCCTCGAAGACGATACGATACTAATGGGTAGTCCCGGTCCTTACACCTGGAGGGGTACAGTCTTCGCCCAGGATGCTAATGACGATGTGCTGGGTCGTGACAATATCGTCTACATGGCACCGGTCGCTGATGGTGCTAGCCCTGTTGAGAAATATAGTTATTTAGGTATTTTTTTGTTTTTTTATGATTTGTAGTAATCTGCAAATATAACTTACCTAAAAGTTTATTATTACACCATAACTAACTCATTAGCATTGTTTTTTCGTACTTATTATATTCCTAGTCCACATTTCTCATTAATATTTTTTGGCATTTCCAGGTATGTCAGTAACAGGAGCAAACTTTTACACTGATAAGCCCTCGTACGCAGCCGGGGCTCCCCGTGCATCTGGCACCGGTCAGGTTGTTATCTTTAGCAAACCTATTATAAAGGATTGGACGCGCACTGATATAGACATCCTGAAGGTGGCACAGATCTTCAAAGGGGAACAATTCGGATCTAGCTTCGGATATGAAGTTGCGTCTGCTGATGTCAATGGTGATGGGTGAGTATTTTATGAATGTTAAGGTTCAAAAAGCAGAAATTTCGTTAGTAAGTCTTAGATCTCCAGGCAAATTTGTATAGCAAGCAAAGTTTACAAATAATATGGACACCGATTACGTTTTAGTTAGCGTTTACATATCTTTCATATAACCAAAGTTAACAAAAGTTGAATAATTATTTTAAATTAACACAATATGACAACGTTAAAATAAACTTCAAATGCAATTGAACTGAAAAGAAGGTTAAAGTAGATCAGAGATGTCAAACCAAATAATATTTTTTGGTTCTATTTTCAGGTTACCGGATCTTCTAGTAGGAGCTCCATTCTACTTCTCTCGCGATACTGGTGGTGCCGTTTATTTGTATTTGAATAACAATTCTAATTTCTCATCAAACTACGATGTAAAACTGACTGGTGAACCAGAGTCTCAGTTCGGTATCACAATTGCAAATGCAGGTGATCTTAATAGAGATGGTTGTGAAGATGTGGCAATTGGTAGTCCTTATGAGGAATATGGCGTAGTGTACATTCATATGGGAGACAGAAAATCTGGTTTGAAGATTAAACCTGATCAAGTAATTAGAGCAGAATCGTTACCGATGACTTTGAGAACATTTGGATATTCACTGTCGGGTGGTGTTGATTTAGATGGTAACGGATATCCCGATTTACTTGTTGGTGCTTATGAAAACGTAAGTTTCGATTAAAGGAATAACATTCATATATTATTGATAACGATATTATTTTGATCCTTACTTTAATAACAATACCTTTTAAACTTACAGAGTAGCGTTGCACTTATCCGTACAAGACCTATCATCGATATTAAAACTTCAGTTCGTCCTTCTAACACTATAATGAATGTTGACCCAACTGTACATGGTTGTGAGAAAGACCCTACAGCAAATTATACGTGTTTCCACTTCCAAGCGTGCTGTATGATCAAATCACTAGTCAGATCAGCTAAAACCAACACCCATACATTAAATTATGTAATAGAAGCTGAAACTTTCCCTGGTGGAAGAAAATATTCCAGAGTATTCTTTGATGCGGAGAAAACAAACATTGTTAATAAAAGTATACGCTTGGGCAAAGATGTAGAAGACTGTAGAGAACATATTGTTTATCTGAAGAACAATACTAGAGATATACAAACACCAATAAAGGTAATTTATTAAAAAAACTATTCTTTTTTACGAAAGTGATTTGCGCGTTGTTTTGAAACACCTGACCAAAAAAGTGCTAAAAAACAAACCACAAAATTATATTCAATGCAGCAGCTGAAACTTTTATGACGATTTCCTGTGTTTAGTTTATTTTCAGTAAAAAAAAAACTTGCTAAAATATATGAAGTAATAAATATTTTTTTCTTTTAGTTCCAAGTAACATATACGCTAGAGCATGAACGTCCTCGATATTCTACAATAGGCCAGCTACCTAACATCGATGATTACCCGGTCCTCAACGCAACTGCCACGACCACTTTCAGCGCTAACTTCTTGAACGACTGTGGCGTTGACGGTGTATGTGTTAGCGATTTGGTGGTCAATCCTGTACTGCAACTCCCTATGGGTAGGTTGCGTAAATTTCTTTTTTATATTCAAAAATATGCCAATTAAAATAATACTGACGATGTTTAATCAGAATGTTTACAAGTCACATAGGTACTTATTGTAAGTATAATTTATCATAATTATGAATGATGATGGATATAATATTTGCTTACTTCTAGTTGTATAAAAATTACGTTCACTTATTATGTTCTTTTTAATGTTTTTAACATTTCAGCTGAAGGTGGCAAAGCGTATGCTCTGACTCTAGGTCAAGAGGAAGAGATAAGGCTTTCAATATCAGTGGATAACTATGCTGAATCAGCATACGAGACGCAATTGTTTGTGCAACACCACGCCAGTCTTCATTACATAGCTGTTAATATAAGTGTAAGTGTCGATTGATTTCACATTGAAGTTAATATAAATGAAAAGAACATGATGTTGATTTAAAAAAATAGAAAGTTGTTTATGATTAACTGCCTCAAAATTCCACAACTGATTTGGTACTTAACTCTCAATGAAGTAAGATTTCCAAAACTGTCTTTTTCCAATTGATTGGATCAATAATTTTGCATGAGCTATATCTATGTGTGTCTTTCTGAAAAATGCAAAAAACACTTATCATGATTTCAGGAAAAACATGTCATTTGTACGAGCTTGAATAAAACAGTCGTATCCTGTTTGCTAGAAAATCCATTCAAGAAACAACCTGAAGGAAGTCCTCCAATTACAATGCGGTTCGACGCTAGAGCACTAGAAGACAATGAACCTTCAGTAGTTTTTATTGTATGGGCTAATTCTACATCCAAAGAACTGTACCCTGGAAAGACCCCAGCGAAAGTGGAAGCTCTCGTGATTAAGAATGCTGAGTTGTTGATAAAAGGGTAAGACATTAAAACACTTTGTTGTAAAGTAAAAGGCTTGTACTATGACCATTTTAATTATATTGCAAACAAGGCTACACCTATTGTGATTTTTATTCTAAGTCTATCTTTTTATTATTTAAACATCATTCTTATTTGAATTATAATAAAAATATTATTGGGAAACATTTTAGAGCTGCGAGACCTGAACAAGTTTTCTATGGTGGGGAGGTGAAAGGTGAATCAGCAATGACATATTTCGATGATTTGGGCACCAGAGTTATTCATACATATCAGGTAATTGAGGTAGCATGTAAAAATAAAGTAAACAACATAAAATATAACAAATTTTATAAAGTTTTTATGATATAATTCGTATCAAATCACTATTTACATAATTATTTCATATTTAGGTATTCAATGAGGGACCATGGAGAGTGTCTTCAGTCCAAGTGGTGATTTCTTGGCCACATCAGGTGGCGTCTGATAATCCGCAAGGCAAATGGCTCTTGTATCCAGAAGATGTGCCAACTGTCGACGGAGAAGCAGGTAACGTTGCGAATAATACACATGTTTAATTATACTATTATGTTCTATTATTACAAGAGAATATTTATCTATCTTGAGTTACTCAAGAGAATCCTATCTAGTCATGTGCCTGCTCGTACATCTAAAAGAGCATACCAATACATTGGTGATTATCAGTTCTAATCTACTATGAATTAAAGAATAGAGGTGATATTCTGCTTTATTGATAAAGATCTGTTACACCACACACCACATTGGCACACCAAAGTGCCAATAATATGTTTTGTTGCTTTGACGTACGGCTCATAGTGCGAAATAACGAAAAGTGACCGAACAGTCCGATTAACCTATTACAGATTTTAGTGAACTATAAGTTCTATTAGCTCATATATCTGAAACGATTCCTAACCGTACATCGTTCATGAACTACACAAGACTAATCCTATCCATTTTCTTGAGTTGTTGATATGGTTATAAAATAAAGATACATTCGAAAAAACTATTAAAACTTCCATTAGGTTCAGTCCATTAGTTTGAAATTAAATTTGACTGAGATGACACTTTGTTGAAATGTGGAAAATAGGATTAGCTGATCTACATGGTGCTAGAATTATGGCGTTGATTGTAATGCCAATTAAAAATTAAATGTCATTTGAAAAATTAGAGCTAAATTTATAATTATTTGCTTATTAATATTTACATATTTATGATTATCGTTTTTCTTTCAATAAACCTGCTATTACCAAATATAATACTAACATTATAAACTGTAAAAGCAAAAGCATATCACTACAAAAATGCCACTCGATTTTAATCGGTATCCTGGTGACAATTAAGTACAATATTGTTTGTAGTGAATTCTTGTAGTAACATAACATACTGCTGTAAATGATCACACGCATTCCATACAAACAACCAAACGAATAACTATGTATAAGGCAAATTTAAATGTATACTTTTATTTTTCTTCAGATCAAAGCAACGGCGAGTGTTTTATATCGGAAAAACAGATAAATCCGCTGAAATTAACTCCTAGGCCCGGTGTTCCGGAGCCATTATTAGAGAATTTAGAAATGGATCCGTTCCTTAGGACTGGCAAAATAAGCGTCAGCTCCAACGAGAAGTTTCACAATGAAACTAAGAAATTGTCCGAATATTCTAGCGCTATAGAGAATAAAGTTAGAAGGAAACGAGAAAACGATATTGTTAAAGCAGAAGCATATACAGACAAGGATGGTCAACGGAAACAAGTTGTCAATATGGTGAGTTTCGCTGTGTAAATTAAAGTATAAGGTGGACCCGAAGATTGTTATCATTTTGAATTCAAATTATTACTGTACCAAAGTTAACAAAAAAAGGCCGCACGTCACGCTACACAATACCAACGTAAGCAGACCTCTGTCAGTAGGGAAATTCTATACGAGGTGCTGGTGATATAAAGTTAACGTGCAGTCGTGTGTGCATTAATCTTCAAACTCCGAATTTTCTAAATAATGTATTTTGATTACCCATTTCAAATCTTCAATTATATATTATTGAAAATTGTAGATTTAATGAAGTTAAATAAAAAAATACATATACATTTGTTGACCGTTAAATATGCTTTCGAAAATACAATAAATATATCTTACCCCTAATTTTAAACACTTAATCTAAGCAGAATTTGAAATATCAAAATACTCACTAAAATATTAATCATTTTATTTACAGAACTGTCAGAAAAAGACAGCGAAATGCATACAGTTCCAATGTGTGATTTACCGCCTGGGCCGTATGCAGGCGACCACTATTACCGTAAAAGCACGCCTGTGGAACGCAACGCTCGTAGAGGACTACCCACGCGTCAGTCATATCAACATAGCCTCCTCCGCCTACATCCTTATTCCGGAACATTACAATCTCCATCAAAACAAGCACCACGATGATACCGCTACGGTCAGTATCAATATGTTTAAATAAAAAGACATTAAAGAGGAATACCGATCGATCAATATATTGATACAGAAATCTCGTAAATATTTTTAGATAGTCATTTCATTTCAAGAATAGCTGGCTTCATGATTATTTCCCTTATTATTTTATTAGGTATTTATAATGTGAGTGCTGAAATACCATACATTTTATGCGATGGTCTTTAGTTTTTTGTGATGGCTGAAAATGTAAATATTGTATGAAATAGTCTATTAATATAAAAGCGCTACTCGCCAAGCATACATACTTAAAAAATCCACATTGTCCCTGGCACTCCGATATGGGACTTGAGCCCATGATCTTTCGCAATCCGGGCGACTGCTTTAACCACTGAGCTATCCAGGACCTAACAGAACTGACGAATTTTTGACGAAGCGAAAAGTAACAAGCACATGTCACTTTTTGCTACTACAGAGCGTATTTTCATTAATGTTCAGGCAATCCATCCAAACAGCCGAAAGAAATATTTTTACAAATATTTAAACTTTCGATGAAAATGAAAATTTGTTCTAATTATTATATTTGATAAATTTTGCATTCACAATGCTATACTGAAAATTATTCTTAAATACATACTTACTTTAATTTAACAATATTTCAGTAGTTATTATCCGCTAAGAAATAATTTCTCCAAATACCCCAAGAAATTATTTGATACGTGAAAAGAAAAACACGACCAGAAGCTTGTCCTAGTATACTTAAAATTATATTGTTTTATATAAAATCTATAAATTATATTTTCAGGTGGAGACGGTAGCTTATCCAGATCTCAAGATCAGCGAGCCTACAGAAGTGCCACTATGGGTCATCATCCTTTCGGTGATCATTGGACTCATAGTATTAATTTTACTAATAATAGCTTTGTGGAAGCTCGGATTCTTCAAGCGAAGTAGACCAGACCCGACGTTATCGGGTAATCTGGAGAAGAACAACCACGAGTCCAGCCCATTCATAGTGAGAGACAGGAACAATGTTCGATAGCTAGAGTATTTTATGGTGAGGAGTGACAGTGACAGTGTAGTCCCTCTACAGTGCGAAAGATTTTGATGAGTGCACGCATAAAATTGGTTCGTTCGTATTGCCTGATAATAATCACAAAGAAGGACCGCACTTATCATTAGCATGTTCTGGAAAAGTGTAGTGTGTAACTGAAGTGGTGTTGGACAGGTATTATTTTACTTTATATATTTCTATGTTTGACCATGAAGCATATCTTTGATCAAGCACTGGTCTTATGTTATATTTTATAATAGTTATCTATGCCTGTTTGGTAAATAAATTATAAAATTATTTTTTGACTGTGATGTCTTCATAGAGAATAATGTGTGCTTATGTGATGTTTTAAACAGTAACATTTTTAAGTTTTGTTGAATTTGCACGAGTCCTTGTATTAAGAAATTTTATTAATATTTTCTCTGATTGCATTTCTATAGAGTTAAGTATGTGCAGCTACGTTACTTATCTAATTGTTTTAAGGTTTCGGGGCCCAAAAGGCGTACCTATGAAACCTGAATATTGATGTCCGTTCGTCCGCCCATCCGTTCTCATAATAATAAGTGGGTGGATGTTAATTTTGTAAATAGTTTATACGTACCGTAGGGATGACTTTCGAGTAATGTGGCTTTTGACTTTGTAAGTTTTGTTGTGGCTATGATATTTTTTGTTTTATAACAATATCCAGTAATTTCTTTATTAAAGCATCTTCAACTAGTCGTATAGTTAACAGTAACACATCCATTTCAAATTTAATTTCTTACCCCAAAAAAAAAAAACAATGTTTATATGATAAATTTTGCTTCTCTAAGTTGCACTGATAATGAGGATAGCTTCGTCAGTATTCCTAACCTCGCTGATTCTCTTGTGTCTTGTTTTTCCGATGTTCCCAATAATTTCAATGTTGTCCACATAAATGCACAAAGCATTCCGGCTCATTTTTCAGATATGCTGACGAACCTGGACTGTAAGAATATTCATGCCATACTTGTCTCCGAATCATGGCTTAAACCATGTCTTCCTTCTACTTCTTATTCTTTGCCCGGTTTCAATCTCATCAGGAATGATCGGGCATCTGGTGGTGGCGGTGGTGTCGCTATTTATTTACGTTCTCATATTCCCTTTTCAGTTGTTGACGTATCACCACAGCCTCCGCAAACGAATGCCGGTGAGCACCTATTCCTAGAAGTAAAGCTGCGACACACAGTACTTCTCCTTGGTGTGTACTATTCCCCGTCATCGCGTATAAATTATTTCTCATCCTTTGAGATCAAACTCGAACAACTTGCCCCCACTTACAGTCATATCATTGTCATGGGTGATTTTAACACCTGCCTTCTAAAAGCTGATTCCCGGTCGGCATCACTTCGCAGCGTTTTACAATCTTGCAATTTATTTACTCTACCTTTAAACGCCACTCATAGATTTCCTAACTGCTCCCCTTCACTTCTAGATCTTATTATTGTCTCTTCCCCAGAACACGTTGCACGCCACGGACAATTTTCAGCTGATAATTTCTCATACCACGATTTAATTTTCCTCTCGTATAAAGTACGCCCTCCAAAATTGAAACCTAAAGTAATAATGCTGCGTAATTTTAGTGGTATAAATCTCGATGAACTCCGTGAGGATGCCGTCAAAGTGGATTGGACTCAACTATTTGACAGCGGGTCCGTGGATGAAATGGTTGATCTTCTCGCTTCGAATCTTACCCGTTTATATGATGTCCATGCACCGATTCGAGCAGTTAAAATGAGACATCATCCTTCACCGTGGCTTACTGAAGAAATCAAACATCTATCTACCAAGAAAGCTGCTGCCAAAGCCAAATATAAGCATCGTCCTTCTAACTCCAACTGGGAAAAATATGTCAACATTCGAAATCACTGCAATAAGGTGTGTAGAACTGCTCAACGCCAATTTATTCACAAATCCGTTGATAACGGTGACCCAGCCAAAGTCTGGAGATTTCTCAGATCTATGGGGATTGGTAAACAACGTCTAGAATCTTCAAATTTAGATATAAATCTGATAAATCAATATTTTTCTACTTCTTATTCCTTCGATCCGGCTATTAAGTCGAATACGTTAAATAATCTTTCATCGCTACCAAGCCCCGACTATTTGCCTTTCATCGTGCGTCGATTCTCCGATTGTGATGTTAAGAAGAGCATTATGTCCATAGGCTCCAATGCGGTGGGAAGTGACTGCATTAGTCGTAAGATGATTCTGCCCATCCTAGATGAAATTCTCCCTGTTATTACTCACATCTTTAACCATTCCGTCGATACTGGTGTATTTCCCACGGCTTGGAAAAATGCCCAGATTACTCCTCTTCCTAAAAAATCCAACCCTTCTTCCTTTTCTGAATACAGGCCCATATCCATTTTACCCTTCCTTTCTAAAGCCCTCGAACGCCTTTTGTACAACCAGCTGTCCATTTTCCTGCACAAGAATAAACTCCTAAACCCTTTTCAATCAGGTTTTCGTCCAGGTCATAGTACTACTACGGCTTTGGTTCATATCACAGACGACATTAGACTGGGCATGGAGAAAGGGAAACTAACAGTTCTCTCCCTACTAGATTTTAGCAACGCATTCAATACTGTCGACTTCGATATTCTGCTTGGCATACTGCGCTCTATTAACATATCTCCAACGGTGATTGACTGGTTTCGTAGTTACCTGATTGGCCGCCGTCAACGTGTCTGCATTGAGGATTCTTTTTCCTCCTGGTGCGACAGTTGTGCTGGTGTACCACAGGGTGGCGTCTTATCTCCTTTACTATTTGCCATATTTATTAATTCTGTCTCCAATAAACTTCTTTCATCATACCACCTTTATGCAGATGACTTACAAATTTATTCCCAAGCTTCTCTGGATAATTTGGCTTCGGCAGTTGATAATATAAACTCAGATTTAGCTTTAATCAGTGATTGGAGTGTTTCTTATGGTTTAAAAATAAATCCTTTAAAAACACAGGTAATTGTGGTGGGTGGTCCTAGCTTGGTATCTAAAATTCAATGGTCGCAATTGCCGCCTATTACATTCGGCGGTGTAAGATTATCATATAGTGACTGTGTTAAAAATCTGGGAGTGCTTCTTGACAAAAATCTATCCTGGGTACCACACGTTCAGGAAGTAAGTCGCAAACTGTTTGCTTCGGCGGCATCCTTAAGGAGACTTAGGAATTTTTTACCTATTGCTACTAAAATCACGCTAGCGCAGTCTCTCCTCTTACCAATTTTAGATTATGCCGACGTCAGCTATCTTGATCTCACTGAAGAGCAACTGAATAAACTTGAGCGACTTCAGAACTTCGCAATAAGATTCATATTTGGATTACGTAAATATGATCATGTATCAAAATATCGTCAAGAGCTCAAATGGTTGCCTATTCGACTTCGCCGGAATGCTCACATAGTTTCTTTGTTATATAATGTCCTATATAATCCTGCTTCCCCTGCTTATCTTAAAAAGCGTTTCCAATTTCTTAGTAACACTCACTCCCGTCTCTTGAGATCAGCGGACAACCCGAGACTTGCGATGCCTATGCATTCATCTAGAGTGTTTGACAGGTCCTTTACTGTACACGCCGCTCGTCTGTGGAACGAGCTGCCGAATGCTGCGAGGCGTGCTCAGTCTTTAAATATTTTTAAAAATTTAGTTTCAGAATACTATCTTTCACGTGCTGTAGGTACATCCAAATAATATTTATTGTAGATTATATTAAATTTCTGTAAGTTAAATTTTTGTAAGTGTGGATGTGTGCGTGTGTGTGCGTGTGCGTGTGTGTGTGTGTGTGTGTGTGTGGGTGTGTGTATGTGTATGTGTGTGAATTAATTGCATTGTGTATTCATGTGTATAAACTATACTTTGCTCAAATGCACTGCCCTAAATTGTTTTGTATCTAATTTCCTTTTTGCGGTTGCCTGGAAGAGATCGCTTTTAAGCGATAAGGCCGCCATTTGCTTCGCTATCTATGTGTATCTTGTATGTTCTCCTTTGTTGAGCAATAAAGTGTATTATTATTATTATTATTATTATAAATGTAAAATTAATAACAATGTTAACTCTAATATTTCTACTTGTGTTGTTCTCCTATTATATAAGTCGCTTTATAGAAAAAGGCTGTTAGAAAACTGTTAGAAAGTGCATCATAGGTTATATCGTTTTTTATTTATCATTTCATTTTATTTGCCCTTCTGTCTAGGATCAATCATCTAAAATATAAGGTATTTTCCGTACAATATGTTTAATTAGATGTCATTTTAGTTCGTTTCAATGTTAAGATTTTTTAAACATGTTTTTTGAAAGAGTAAAATCCTTGAGATATTGTTGTCATGATCGTTTGAATGTTTTACTTATACATCCTCAGTCCTCATATATAAAATATTATTATTTGAATATGTTACTACATTGTCATATAAAATAATTGCCTTTTTTTATATATAAGCAAATGTATTGTTAGAACAAATCATGCTTAAGCCGCATTACTTCAAAGAAAATTTATTTATGAATATATTTAATAGTCTACTTAATCGACTAGACATCTAGTCACAATAATTATTTAGTTTAGAAACTTTATTGTGATCGATAATGTTATAATTATCAATGTAAATAATGGTCACAAATATCTTGGACTAGACATTTTATTTGTTTGTAAAATTTTCTTAGCATTTTTAAATAAATTTGTTAGAAATATTGTATCAATTTCCTTTATTAATATAACATTGACGATGCAACAAAGTTTGTATTTCTATTAAATGTAATTAAGGATTTATAGAAGAGGTACTTATATAATTTTTAGATGCACATTTGTGTGAACATTAATGTGTAATGTAAATAGATCACTGGCTTAATATTTATAAGAGTTGTAAATTTGTATGTAATTTTAATATACTTAGTTTTTTTACTAAATATCTTTACTATATACGCTTTATTGTATCAAAATTCTAAATAAACCACAATCGCACTGCCAGAAAAATTAAGAACTAAATTAAGTAGTTGTTGAATCTTCTTCTTATTTTTATATTATCAATTAAATTTGAAATTTATTATAAATATAATATCCTTCAAATGGTGAATTTAAAACAATTTATCGACCAATATGAAAATTTTTGATTTAAAGATGGTCCACAAAAACATATTTCAATTATCAATTATTAATGAAATCATAATTGATCCTGTGCCATAGTCGCATCAGGTTCCAAATATACCTAAAATGGAGAAAATTAGAAGAAATATTTTCTTAATTATTGTATCTTCACAAATACTTAATCATAATTTTTTATCAATCTAGTTTATTAATAAATAGTTGATTTAACACCCATTTAATAAAACTGGTTGTGATGACTTCCTCTTCCTCTTTCTGGGAGATTTTTTTATTATAACAAGAAAAGTTAGTACATTTCCTTATAGAAATAAATTGTGCCATTTTGAGACGTTCTTTCATTGTCCCCAACATTCTTTTTACATTCAATATATAGGTATAGACAATGAGTAGCTCGATGGTGTAGTGGGTAAGCGCTGCAGCCCGCGGTCGTTGTTCTTAAGCAACTTTCGCAAGGGTCGGTCACGAGATGGGTGACCAAAAAATTACGATACGAAACAAACGATGAGCTTTTCCCGGCTGCATTTGCAGTCGTTAATACCATTCGATGCAGATTGGGCCAGCGTCAAGGGCCATGGACCATCCTATTTATTTAACCATGCATAAGGAAGGCCTGAACCTTTGCATTGGAGACGTAAAAAGGCTGATGATAAT